TACGGACCTCCGATTTGGTCCCTAAATTAAAAAAATCCTTGATTTGGTCCCAACTGTTTACCATTTTTACCCCGATTTGGTCCTTTCGTTAAAATATCACCATTATCTCACGACAATTTAATGACATGTCAAACATTTGAGACACGCCAATTGTATAAATGAATAAATAATGACATGGCAACGTGACATGTCATGTTCTTGCCCAACCCAACAAAAGTGAAGCCCACCAAAATTAAGAATTTGCCATCATCTTCTTCCTCCAACAAACAAACCCAGCACCTGGGTTGAATCAAACCCAACAGCACCCTTTTTTTTACCTTCCTCTTCCTTGCCTTGCTTTCTTCATCATCATCAAACACATCATCATCAAACACCAAACCCACAGAAAAAATATATATATATTTTACCCCTGGGTTCCGTTGAACCCATGCCTGGGTTCGACGGAACCCAGCTGGTTCGAAGAACCCAGGCGTGGGTTCGAGGGAACCCAGCACTTAGGTTCCTTCGAACCCAGCACTTGGGTTCCTTCGAACCTAGCGCCTAGGTTCCCTCAAACCTAGGGTTGGGTTCCATGGAACCCAGTGCCTGGGCTCCAAAGAACCCAAGCATGGGTTCAAAGAACCCAAGCATGGGTTCGAGGGAACCCAACCCAGGCAAGCGTGCTGGGTTTGGTTCCTTGCGAACCCAATGCCTGGGTTCGCAAGGAACCTAGCGCCTGGGTGGGTTCGAAGGAACCCAAGCCTGTTAGGTTCCGAGGGGAAAGAGAAGGGAAAGGAGAAGGAGAAAGAGAAAGGGAAAGGAGAAGGAAAAAGAAAAATGAAAAAAAGATAAAAGAAAAAAAATTTTAAGTTTTATTTTTCATAATATTTTTTTATATTATTATTTTTTCCACATCATCACTTTTTGGCTATATTATCTTCCACGTGGATTACTATATGACATGTCATTTGGTAACCATGAAGTAACAGGCCACGTCACACAATTTTTAACGGAAGGACCAAATCGGGGTAAAAATGGTAAACAGTAGAGACCAAATCAGGGATTTTTTTAGTTTAGGAACCAAATCTAGGGTCTGTATAATAGTTCAGGGACCAAAAAAAGATTTTAACAAAAAAAAAAGGGACTCGGCCCTGGATGACATGTGAAATTAAACTGGCGGAAAAAAGTACAGGCCTTGTAGGAAAAAAAATGTGTACTCATGGGAGCAGATATTCCAAAAAGCCCCATGGGATGGCAGTAACTGCATGTGGAGCCATCTGTCCGTGTACTTTTGGCC